TTCTTGAAGTTTGGAAGCTGTTAGAAGTGGGCAATTAGCAATTTAGTATTAGTTAATTTGGAATATGCATGGCTGGCTTTTTCTTGGGGATGAGTAAAATGGGCATGTCTTTTATGATGAACTCCATCCACGGCGTTTCTAATTGTATCATGTGAAGAATAAAAGTGAAATATTCCAAGAACCAGTTGGGATGCTTTTAACTTTTCTTTCTTTAATTTAAAAGAATTTTGAGATTCGAAATTAAACTTTTTTCAGAAATAAATGGTACAATATTATTCCACGTTTCAGTTCGAGCAGATACAAATGAAAGGTTTGGAGTTACTTGGACATGAAGCATCCACTTCTCTCGAAAAAGTAGACAAACATACTATTAAGCTCTTGTCCTTTTTATCTTTTTTCTGAAACAAAGTGATATATTTCCAACACCAACGTGGGGATAAAAAGGACCAAGTCATCGAGAAAAAATAATTGACATGACTGCGAATATGGCTAAAGCAAGGGTTAGGAAATGCCTATCAAACATGACGGTTTGGTTAGGTTTGGTGCGGTTTTCTTACACTTTAGTGAAGAAAACCAAACTAAAGCAGTTAAATTAGTTTCAAATCCATTCATGAGGAGAAACTTTAGAAAACCTAGATGAATGATACCATATAAAAATATGACTCCTTATATTGATTTGTGCAAGCTATATTTAGGTAAGAATCCTCACTTACTATAATAAGGAATTACATTCCTATAATTCATAGGATACTCACAAAGATATTCCAAATTAACTCAATGATTCAATGAAATATCTTGGATCTATGTTAAATTAGTGGATAAATGTATCACTCAAATGAATTTAGTTTTATGATGTCAATTAGGATAGTCCTTGAAACAATAAGGAATTACATTCCTATAATTCATAAGATACTCACAGAGATGATTCCGAATTAACTAAGTATACTCTAAGAGCAAGTCCACCGGGACTTGCTTTGCCCAGCCCCCAGCACAAAAAACAGCCTGGCCCTCAGTGAAATTGCTCTAGCCCACAAAGTTGCCTGGCACCCAGCCCATGCCAGGCAACAGCCCAGCCCAATTTTGACAGACCAAGAAGTTGGCCTATTTGGCTGGCGCGTGCATGACAAGTGCGCCTGGGCGCGAGTAGCCGACAGGCTGCAGAGGGGCTGTCAGCCCACTTGTGTTCCGGATCCCATCGGCGACGTGGCATGCTCATAGCCGTTGGATTTCCAACGGCTAGTTTTTCTAGACCGTTGGATTTCCAACGGTAACAAAAATTTAAATTTTACTTTTAAAATAGACCGTCCGATCACAGATCAACGGTCTACGTTAATTAACTAAATTAAAATTTATTAAAAAATACAGAAAAAATATTAAAAAATACAGAAAATTTTAAAAAATTTATTTATTTTTTCTATAAATACCTAACTCTCATCTTCCACCTTACACCACATTTCAATATTTTCTACACTTTCTACCAAAGCTTTCATATACTTTTTGTGTGAAAAAAAAAATACCAAAAAGCTTGTGGTTGAAGAATAAAGTGTATTTGATGAGTTTATGTAATTTCATTTTAGTGTGTTTTTTTTATAGTTTATTTGATGAGTATGTAATTTTATTTTAGTGTGTATTTTTTTTTAAGTTTATTTGAAATTTTATCTGAAATTGGTTAAAAATCTTATCCAAAATAAACTTAAAAAAAAAAACACACCAAATAAATGCACTGGGTGCCAGCGCATTTTTTTAGGGGTGGAGATGCCTTGGCCTATTACTGTTCACTCCAGCCTATTACTGTTCATTTGAGTGGATAAATGCGCTGGGTGCTGGCGCAAAGTCCTTAGGGGTGGAATTGCTCTAATAATTACCTATTATTTATTTGACAAAAGGTATGTAGAATTTCAAGTGGTAATTGCACAAAACTTGAAAAGTTCAGTTACCATATTTAATTAGTTTTGTATTTTATTTTTTATTGGCACTTTCAATGCTTATTAGCAAATTGATGTTATTATTAGTTAAAGTGTCTTTTGAAGATCTGGTTAAATCTCACTTTGTCTTCTAAAAATTAAAGCGACCTACATTATTCTTTCACTGATATTTTGTGTCCTACTTTGCACTCTACAGGTAAATCTGTTAAAAATCCTTGTTAAAATATTGGCGTGACACAAACGGAATTCATTATTCGTTGAATATTTGTAAGGTGGGTGCCATGCATGCATGAAAAAGTAATAATAAAAACATTTTTCAAAAAGAAGTTGTTGAATACTTCACCATATTGATGTGCACGTTATTTTGTTGTTATGGCAAACAAGATTGAATTAGAATTATAGAGGGTTTGACTTCAACTGTCATTGTCCAAACACAAAGGAAGAAAATAATAGAAAATTAGTAGGAAGAGAAAAATAAATTGAAATATCTCAAGTGCCATGCTAGCTTATCTGTTTCCAATCTCCAATACGTAATAAAAAACAAAAACAACTGTTATTAACATTTTAAAATTTTATATTTTGTACTTTTTCGAGTGCATTATTTACTCTAAATATAGAAAATTTGGAGTGTAAATTAAAATTTTTAGAGTGCTAATAACAATTTTCAAAACAAAAATGGGATATTTGTCTGTAAGAGCTCGTTTGTAAGTGTTTTAGTAAAAATATTTTTAAATCAATTCATAGTAAAAATTCAAGTGGATCATAGTACAACACTTTAAGTGCTTCTTGCAAGAAGCACATATATGTTGCTTCTTCCAAAAAACACTTAAAGTGCTTTTGAAATCAGAAAATCAATTTCATAAAAAGTGATTTCAGTTAATTTAAAGGGTAATAATAGGGAGACCAAAATTTTAAACTAAATTGCAAATAAAATGATGTGTCATCAACAGCAAATAAGCACATTAATCAATATTTAAATAATAATCTGATCATTAATCAACACACTATTTGATTTGTAAATTTAATTTTAATAATTTGATCTTTCCAACATTATCCTAATTCAAAAATACTTCTACACGAGCTTTAAATGTTTGTGTACTAATCGACGAGTTTCTTATCAATAATACAACTATTATACAAAACTAAGTAAATAGATTTTCTCTGTCTCTCATCAATAATTTTCCCATCACTTTGGAAAATTACGTTCTTAATCATCGAGGTGATCCTGTGATCACCTCGTCCTCAGCGGATGGTGAGCAACAACCCACACGTGAACTGGTTTTCTTAATCAAGATGCCTAAAAGTGAGGGATTCTCTTATAAAAATTCTGGTAAATTGCTGTCCTTATCTTCAGATAACAATGAAGAGAAATGAATGGGTTCGAATTATGAAAGTTCATACAATGAAATGATGTTGTGACATCATATAATGAGAAATAATTCCTTACATGCAAGAAACCAAATAATGTTCTTAACAAAAAGCATGCTCAAATTTCAAACTCTCTTTTCTTCCTTGTACCACATTGAAGTTGGGGCAAGGCCCTTCAGAGGCTCAGTCTTTGTTATTATTATCCTTATGTACACATTTTCTCATGTTATCCATCTAAAATTTTTTTGCTCGAATGAGATTATCGATGAACTGTATTTTTGTTTGAAATTAGCTGATGTAATTTATCATTTACTTAGCTCGCATGAGGTATTAATAGAGAGTGTGTGAGAGGTACAAAGTTGTGTATGAATACTTGTACCCTAATTTTATTGGAACACTCTTTTTTGGCTTATTTTTAGCTAAGCTCTCTGAAACTCCATTTTATTTCTACTTTGCTATCTGTAACTCAAAAGTTATTACTTTACTTCTTGAAATTCAAAATTCATTTCACTTTGACTTGTGAACTCCATCTTCTCGTTGAAACTTATAGGTCGTCTTCTGAAACATATGTGAGACCCAACACACAATAAGACTATGCCACATATGCAATAAATTTGATTATAAATCTCCATCGTTAACATTCAACAATAAGAGAATATTAAGTTTAAAAGAAGTTGAAGAGATGAAAAAAAAAATTAAAAAAAAATAGATTAGCCTGGTGCACTGAAAATCAATACCACATAAGAAATTAACAGATCTAGGGCAACGTGGAGCAAATTTTACGACTTTCAAGCTTTAAAGGGCAAAATGAAATAAAAATCGAGTTCCAGAAGGCAAAGTGAAGCGACCTATGTGTTTCAGAAAGTAAAGTGGAAATTTTTGCGTTACATGAAAGTGCCGCCTAAGTCTTTTTACAGCGACCCACTCTTTAAGTTCACTTTCCTCCTATCCTCAAACAAACAAGTAGTAGGAGTTACTATCTCAAAGAAACGAACATATGTGTATCTTAAACTCGTGCTTTTCGTATAAAAGAAGAAACCCAAGTCTAAATTCGTGTTTTATTTTGGTTGAAAAACTTAAAACTAAAGTTGGAAAGTTAAAAGAAAATAGAATCGAGGGCAGTGAGCCACATGTAGAATGGAGTTGACGTTTACTTCTACCAACCAGGGGCAGCTCCGTCAATTTTGCTAAATTAAAATGACAGACGTCATCCCGTCGTCTTCTCCGTTGGGGCCCACTCATCCCTCGGCCCCGCCCTCGCTCACCCTCAACTTTCTAGAAGGACCAAGTCAGCAGGTTAAATCCATCTACCTCTCCAATTTACGCGCCAACAAAGACCCAGCTGTACCGTCCACCTGTACACCCCTTCCGCTGAACGAGTCCGTCCTCGTCCCCCAAGTGGCACCGCGCCCCCACCCTCGGCGAACTGTAACAAACCCCCCTCTAACCCCAAAACCAATGGCCCAGATGCAACTTGTTCTCTCAGATATCCGCAATTAAATCTTAAATAAATTAAAATGTTAATAAAATATGTTTAAAAAGCGTTTGGAGCTCCCAAATTAATCCATCGTGTCCGCTCCGTGTAAGCTTCGCTTTCCCCGGAGCAAACAAGAAAAGTTAATTAGTACAAAGTAAAGTAATTAAGAGAGTGATTAAGTTTTTCTAATTATGGTAAAACTCTAATCTCACCCCCTTCCCCTCCATAAAACGCAGACCCTCTCTCTCCCTTCTGTCCCTCTTACTCTCTCACCTCTCTCTCTCCTCCCAACACACTCCTTCTCTCTCTAGTCGTTTATAATCTTATCAAATGGTTTGAATTTGGATTGGATTGTGTGAGAAATGCCAGCGACGGAATACTCGTCAGCTGGTTCCAACCAAATCGGACGGTCAATCTTCGGCCTCAGACGCGATCAGTTGAATTCAATGGAAACCCACGGCCTTTCAGGTGGTGGTGGCGGTGGTAGTGGTGGATTGAACCTCGATTCCTTCCAAACCCACGTCGCCGATTGCTTCCTCCAACTCTCCTCCTCCCACGACCTCCTCTCCCTCCCATGGCTCCGAGACCTCCTCGACTCCTTCCTCCGCATACACCAGGAGTTCAAAACCCTCCTCATCCTCTCCACCAAAACCCACATCTCCAAACCCACCGTTGACCGCTACATCTCCGACTACTTCGAGCGCAGCGTCAAAGCCCTAGACGTCTGCAACGCCATCCGCGACGGAATCGAGGAGATGCGCCAGTGGCTCAAGCTGCTCGACATCGTCCTCGTCGCGCTTGACCGCGACAGGACACTCGGCGAGGGCCAATTTCGCCGCGCGAAGAAGGCTCTCGTCGACCTGGCCATCGCAATGCTCGACGACAAGGACTCCTCCAACACCACCATAGCCCACCGGAACCGCTCCTTCGGCCGAAACAACAACACAAAGGATCATCACCAGCAGCAGCACCGGTCGCTCGGCCACTTCCGATCTCTGTCCTGGAGCGTCTCGCGGTCGTGGTCGGCCGCGAGGCAGCTGCAGGCAATCGGGAACAATCTATACGCCCCTAGGCCCAATGAAATTGTGGCCTCCAGCGGGCTCGCGCCGGCGGTTTTCACAATCAATTCGGTTTTGCTGTTCGTAATGTGGGCCCTGGTGGCGGCGATCCCCTGCCAGGACAGGGGACTGCAGGTGCATTTCAACGTGCCGAGAAGCTTCGTGTGGGCGGGGTCAATGCTGTCTCTGCACGATCGGATTATGGACGAGTCGAAGCGGCGGGACCGGAGAAATGCCTGCGCATTGTTGAAGGAGATTCATCAGATCGAAAGGTGCTCGCGGGTGATCGGCGATCTGGCAGACTCGGCGCACTTCCCGCTTGCGGAGGCGAAGGAGAAGGAGGTGAGGGAGAGAGTGCAGCAACTGTCGAGTCTCTGCGAGGGGATAAAGGAGGGGTTGGATCCTCTGGAGCGGCAGGTGAGGGAGGTGTTCCATGCCATTGTAAAAAGCCGAACGGAGGGGATGGACTCGTACTGAAGAACTAATAACCCCGAATGATCATCGAAATCAATTGCCAATTGAAGAAGAAGAAGACGATGAGATCAATTTTGGCGCCAATAAAAATTGGGTAAGGAGGAGATATGACTTTTTTTCTTTCTTTGTATTTAATCATCACTGAATGGATCAGCAGATCACCATATATATTGTGTATAGAAATTAGGGTTTATGCAAATGGACCAACTTCTCCCTTTAATTTGTGTTGTTGCTGATTTAATTTACCTTTGTATAATGGAATTTCTGAGCATGCTTCTGGCTGCTGCTCTTTCTCATTTTTGTTCAGTTGTTACATAATCTTTCTTCTGTTCTCTGCTACTTACCGATTACGAGATACCATTTGAGGAATTCGAATTTGTTTGTGGGTCGGAGAGAGAGAGATTTGAGCCGTATTCTAATCTAATCTGAACTACGGGGAAGAGAATTCAAACATAAGGGGGCAATATGCTGCCCTGGCTAGCTTGGCCACGCCTACGAAATCATTTGGATTCTAGTTTATTTGGGTTGAGTGTGTCTCATTTTCCACCTCGTCGTTCCCAGTGCACAAGGCTCTCGCTTTACGCAGGGTCTGGGAGAGGTGAATGTCGGCTAGCCTTACCCCCATTTTATGGAGAGACTGCTCCCAAGTCTCATTTTCCACCTCAATGTCGGAAAATGACTCCATCTCTCTTTTGTCCAGAAAACTGTACAGCGGATTAATGATAGCAAATTATATTTTGATTGTTAATGCATGGTGAATAGACAGAAGAAATAAGGCAAATCTGCTGTTCGATTGTGGTTGGAATTTTCTGCTTGCAATATTTCAATATGCAGCTTCAAGCACAGAAGGAAACTCCAAGTTACTCCAGATGAAAAGGGCTGATGTCGATTCTGCTGACTTCCATATGCAGTAAGGTTAGGCTTTTATGTATTTCTGACTATTTCTGGTGAACCTGAGATTGATTGGTGTTGGGTTATTTATGCATATGTTCCCACTCTTATTGCAGGATTTTGACTGTGATTTGGTCGTGCGAAGACGCCTGTAAAGTTCATCTGTTCTGATCCTTGTGTAGGGTTTGATTTTGTCAATTCTCTTGGTTGAGTTCCAACTCTTGCCCAAGAAGATGTTACCCTGATTGCTTCGATCTCATTTTGTTTCCCTCTAATGGAAAGAAAGGTATGTATCCAAAGTTTCTCGACCTTGTTTCGTTACAACATCTGTTCACATGAAAGTCAGAAGTTTATTTCATCTCAACTGAGTCCTCTGTTTTGAAGGTTACTTTTCTCTCTTTCATTGTTTCCGTTCTTACCGTCTTCCTCTCCGCAAAGCTTGCCTTATCTGTCTCTCCATTGTTTTGAAAATAGTCGGTCCAAAAGACTAGTTTTCCTACTGATGTTACTTGGTGTACAGGGTTCGATTTGATCTCCACCTAAGGTTGTTAAGTACAGAGTGGTCTAGCTAAATGCCTGCTTCAACACATTGAATCGGTCCCATCCTGTGGCGGTTCATCAGGATAGCAGGTACTACTACTGATAACTTGGACAGCATGTTATCAGTCGCCTGTACATGCGAGAGCTTTTCCTAACCGTTAATGGATCAACGCTCAGGATTCGCTCACGCATGAGTGGGCGACTGAACATATTTTGACTTGCACTAGATAGACTTAACCAATCTTGTGCATCGAATGGAGCCGCTTGGAATCGGTCTTTGTGAAGATTTCCTCTAGCTGTTTAGAAAAATAGGTTTTGGGTCATCCTGTCACCGACTTATCCTGAATTCGGAGGGGGAGGAATAATAATGCAGTTGGTAGACTGTAAACATCACGACGACTGCTGAGAGCAGTTTAGCCTCTTATCTTGCGCACCAACCTCGTCGAAACGAGAGGCTGCCAGAGGAAAGCAGTGGACCCTACAAAAACAAGAGTCTTAGAACTTCAGTGCCACCGATTTTGTGTTAAGTCTTTCGAGTTGATTCTAACAACATCAAAATTTTATCTTACTAAAGGAAAACGATTGTATAATCTTAGAACAACAATGCAATCGATTTTGCGTGAAATCTTTCAACTGGACCCTAATTTTCTAAATTAAGAATTTGTAAGAGTAGTTATCAATGAGCTGTTGTTAAATGTAGGGTTTAAATGCTAAAAGCAAGTTTTTGTCTTTTGCCTTGGTTGTATTGATTGATGGAGCTGATGTGGCATGTATTGGGAAGGTGGGTTCATGAATTTATGATGCAGATTGGAGATTGGATTGGATTGGAGTTATGGGAATGCATCCTACTTGGGTTCCTTGCTAGCTGTTGAGCCATAAATACCAATAGCCTCTTTTGCCCTTAATTGTTTGCAACTAAGATCATCTTCAATCTACTCAAAATTCAAATCTTATATTTAAGGTCATCTTCAACCGAAGGCTAGCAAAATGATTCGTTTTAGCCCTCTGGTCTTTTAAGATATTAATATTTTAATAAACAATACATGGTCATATTTGCCTCCATCTTCCACCGAGGGTCAAATATAATTTATTATTTAAATTTAAAAACCACAACAACTTAAATTTAAAAACTACAACAACTTAAATTTAAAAAACTACAACATATGTTTAAAAACTATAACTTAAATTTAAAAACTACAAATTAAATTAAAATTTTGTAAAATAGAAGTTATAGAAAAAAAATAGAATTTAAAAATAGAAGTTATAGGAAAAAAATTTGTAAAAATAAAAAATAAAAATGGCTAGCTGACGTGAGCTAGCCGTTGCATTTGAAAATTTGGCCTAGCATTCTTGTCGGATATAACCGACAAAAATATATTATATTGCTATCGGTTATATCCGATAGGAATGCTCAGATTTCTGGTCCAGCCCGGGTTTGGCTGGATTGGGCTAGCCTTTTGGCCCTTTCAGATTATGTGGGGCCCACGAGTCCTCTGGCCTAGTCCTCGGTCGGAGACGGTTTTCGGGCTATTTTTGGCCATCTGGCCCTCTGAACCTTTCAGTTGGAGATGGCCTAAGTTGACTAGTAATATGACCGGAAACTTGAAATTTATTATGGTTCGTTCATTATGTGGCTACTTGACAAATGATTTTATTTAGCAAGTGGCTTGTAGCTCAGTTGGTTAAAAATATTTATTTTTGTAATGGAAGTCTTATGTTCGAATCTCTCTTTCCGTAATGTGAAGTAGATTATCTTATCGTTTGTAAAAAAAAAAAAAGGAAAAAAAGACAAACGACTTTATTTAATTACAACAACAATATATTTGTGCTAAGGTACACAATTGATGGACCATAATAGTTTGGTTGGCAACTTGCCATCCACAAAAATCGATCATAAAACATTCTACTTATAAGTAAAAATAAATATTACTAGACCGTATAATTTTAAATTTTTTTTAAAGTTGAAAGTGGTATCAAAGGACTAAAAATTTTAGTTTTTAAGAATTGAGTTAAATGTTTCGATTTTATGAATCAATGAATATCGAACTTTCTCCGCAAAGACTTTATAGCGTAAATGTACACAAAAGATCTTTGCCTCTTCCCCATAAACTTGATTTCCCAATCTTTATGCAAATTTGTAAGCCAAAATAAGTAAAAAATTGAATATCAATTATAACAGAGGAAGTGAGAGTCGGAGGTCTCTTAACTCTACACACAGATTAGAAGCTATATTTTTCTGGTTCTAATCCTGCTGATTGCTAGCACCAGCAGGGACACAATAAGGGCTGAACCTGCAATGATAAAAGGAGAGCACAGCAGATTAGACTTTTCCAAACCATCCTTCTTCCCCATATCCTCACTTGATTCCTCATCAGCCACATCACCTTGTTCCTCCGTTTCGGAAGATTCATCCTCTTCCTTCTCTTCATTTTGTTCTTCATTCTTTGATACTTCTTCGATTTTGTTTTCGTGACCTTTTTCGATGGGTTCTTGCTTTGGTAGCTGCTGAACAATATCACCTTCTTTACGAACTCCGTCCGTATTCTTTTCGTGTCCGACTTGTGCTTCTTCTTGTGTTGCTCTTCTGTCTTGTGCAAGTTTTGATGATTTGCCGCTCTCTGGTCTACTTCTAACGTGTTCCTCAATCCCCGCCTTTGGTGTTTCTATTTCGGGCTCTGCAGTAGAGTATTCTTCAGCTGTTTCATGCTTAGCAATTGCCTGAGCTTCTTGTAATGACCTTGTAACTTCATGAGTTACTTCACTGGTTTTATCCACATTCACTGGCTCTTCAGCATCCTTGCTGATCCTTGGAGCCTTGTCCGCTACAATTTGGTCTCTTCCGAGTTCCTTTCTTTCAACTTTCTCTTTCTCAACTCCATCAGCTTCTTTAACCTTTGCAACTTTTAGCTCTTCACTGTGTTCCGAAACAGATTTTGTTTGGTGTTGCATACTTTGAGTCTTTGAATCTTTAGCTTCTTCCTGCACTACGCCTCTGCTCGCATCCTTTTCGATAGCTCCATCAGCTACAATTTCTTTCTTGGAGCCCTCTTCATCAACCCCTTTCGCATCTGTTCGATGATTTTCTTCTACTTTCTTTTTCTCAAGCTCACCAAATTGGTCCTCAATTTTCCCCCTAAAACCATATTTTTCAGAGACTTCTCCAGCCGCAGGAGGTTTTGTGAGCTGCTGTCTCCCTATATCCACTTCATCTTCTTTCACTTCCTCGATCTCAACCCCGCGAATTCCTTTCACCGATTTTGGCATGACGATCGTGAGAGTTGATTCGTGTGCATTAAACTTGGCCTTGATTCGATCCAAAACCACTCTATCCGGAATTCGAAAGACTTTTCGGAAACCCCTCATCTCCACCTCTTTCTTGTACATTATCCATCCTGACATAACCTTCTCTTGAACTGGCTTCTCCCCACTGATTCCAATCTGAGTCCCATCTTCGTTTATGTCGATATGTACACGCTCTCTTCTATAACCTGCAAAAATTAATTTCTTAAATAAAAACACACATGTGAATACTACGAGAGCGCTCACATTAAGATAAAATGAAAAGATACCGACCTTTGAGATGGGCAGTGAGGATGAACATGGTTTCGGTTTCCTTAGACACGAAAATAGGACCGGATTTGTCCTTGGCAATCCGAAGGTTGGCAGACGAAACATGATCGTCTACGCTGTGGGTGATCTTGAGTCCTAATTCTAGATCCATTGGTGGTTTTTCGTGTTAGATATCAATTTCGGAAACTCAAATTTTTATTTCATAAAAAGGGGTAGAAGAATGTGGTTATTGAATTGAGGGAAATGTTAGGTGAGCATATGAACAAAGTAAGCACATATTCATTGCTTGTTAATTAGGGCTGCTGCAACTGTTTAAATCCTTTGCTTTCATGATATTATTGTTTGCCTTGGCGGGAAAGCTAACCTCTGTTTTTCATACCAAAAACATGCAAATGTCCCTTGGGTTACTGTTAGACCTTAAAAACTACCAAGCCTACATGGCGCGTAGGCCGAGTAATTAAAAAGCTAACTAAGTCATTCGGTTGTGTGCGGGGCATGCCAACTCGTCGACCGAACTCGGCCGGGGAGTAAAATGTGTTGATGTTGCGTTGGGCGCGATGCTGACTTCTTGATCTTGCGACTATGGCCGAGCAAGGAACACGTCTCAGCCTTCAGGTTCCAGAGCCTGAAGACAAGACTGCTAGTTCTGTGAAGTTCAATATCAAATTCGGCCTTCAAAGTGCCGAATGTAGTAACCTGTAACACCTCACTTCGTCGAGAAGGCTAATAAGATGACCTCTGCCAATAAGGAGTCGAAAATCCTTCTCGACCGAGACTTGGATAGATAACCAATCGACCCCGACGCCGTGCTGTTTATCCAAACTGAAGGTGCTCCGGGGTCGGTTGATTTCACGGCAACAGTGCTGTTTATCCAGACTGAAGGTGTCACCGAACTGAAGTTGTCACTGGTTGCCCTCATAGTGCTGTTTATCCAAACTGAAGATGTGTTGGCAAAAAAGGAAAATAAAAATCTCAAGGTTATTGAGAGGTTTCGCGTAGAGCGAGTTTGCGCAAGGCAGTTTGTGTGTTGAGTTTGAGGGGGCATCACTTGTTGCAACGCACCTTGTATTTATAGCATTCATATCTTCTACTGGGCACAACCAGATAATTTTGTAGAGTCTAACTACAACTCTAATTCACGGAAATGAACTTGATCCGCATCAGAAACCAAGGCATATCCTTCAAATTGATCCGTGGGATTTGTTTCTAGACTTTTCAAACCTAATAAAAGTTAGGCTTATCACATCTCATAAAAAGCTTGGCCCACCGAGGCTTCTTATCATCAAAACTCCATCAGTAGCTTTTAAACCCATCTGACATCACCATGCAAAAAGGCCTAGTCTACCTAGGTTCTTTATCCCATCATTATCCAAGACCATGATTTTAAGATCATCAAATCCCATATGTTGATCTCCACTCCAAGCTATTTCAATCTACACATCCACTGCTAGACGTCCAAATCAATTTGAACCGCACCGCTTGCTTCATTATCTAACGCCATATATATCCCAATATCCCACCATCATTTTAATTGGGATTTAGACAAATATTAGGTTTAAATAATTTAATATATTACCAAGAGATAATATAATGATTAAAATCACAATATTATTTCTCAATAATAACTAAAAAGGTAAATTACATAGTAACCCCTCAGGTTTGAAGTCTATTACAGCCCCATACAACATCTTTAAAACATTTCACTTTCATACCTTAAGTACTATTTTATTTCAATTTCATACATACGTTACATTTTCCATCCATTGATCCGTTAAGTACTGATGTGGCTGGCAAATGCGTGTCAAGTGGCAATTTTTATTTTATTTTAATTTTTTTAAACTAAATCTTCTAAATATTAAAAAAATAAAAAAAAATAAAAACTAAAACCTTATCCCCCTCATCCTCCTCTCTTCTCCCCGCAACCCCCAAACCTCTCCCCCATTTTCATCTTCTTCCCTGCAACCCAGAAAGAAAGGAAAAAAAAAAAACCCTTTAAGTTCGTCTTTCCGGCCCCCTCTTCCCCTCTCTTCTCCCCCATCTTCATCTTTTTTCCCCCGACCCCCTACCTGTAACCCAAAAAAAAAAAAAAAAAAACCCAGATCCCGTCTCGCCATTGTCGTGTTCGTGGAACGGGTGTGGATTTAAGGAGTGAGGGGTGTTTAGAGGAGAGTGAGGGTTGTGTAGAGAGGAGAAAAGGGTGGGCGGTGGGGTTGCAGATGAGAGAAGAGATGGGGTCGGGTTCTGGGTGACCTGTATCGCGGAAGGGGGGATGAGGGTTCTGGGTTGACCTGCATCGCACCGCGGGGGGGCTGGGGTGACGAGCGTCGTACCAGGGATATGGGGTTACAGGGATCTAAGGGATAGATCTGGGTTTTTAGTTTTTTTTGGGGGGGGGGTTATGGGGATATGAAATAGGTTTTTTTTTAATTTTTTAATTTTTAATTTTAATATATATATATATATATATAGAAAATTTAGGTTTTTTTAATTAAAAAATTAGTATTTATGCCACATGGTGTGTCACGTTGGCAGCCACGTCAGCACTTAACGGATTAATGGATGAAAAATGTAACGGATGTATGAAATTGAAATAAAATAGTACTTAACGTATGAAAGTGAAATGTTTTAAAGATGTTGTATGGGGTTGTAATAGACCTCAAACTTGAGAGGTTACTATGTAATTTACCCTAACTAAAAATCATTTCAACCACTTTGTCATTCAATGGCCTAAAATCCTGCTCATTCAACGGCCTTGATTACTCAGGCCGATAGTGTAAAATCGGGTCCAAACATTGCCCCCCCCCAGTTTCCTTAACTTTTCGGCTCGTAAGCCAAATAGTTAAGGAAATTAATTATTCGTAGCCAACAAAATCCCATCACATTACTGAAAAAGAAACTTTGTTCCTTGGCAATAACATGTATGTTCTGCCAACGCTGTGGTCTTCCTCGACTGCCACAATTCTATACAAGGTTTGGCGACTTTGCCAGAAAAACCTTGTAATTACTTTGACCATCCAACTCATACGGTCGAAATGCAAATGGGGCCGAGAAAAACTGGGCCGAGAAGAACCTGATTCTTGATAGCTCGGCGTGTCACCCACCATGAATATTGCAATCCCTTTTTCTGAAACAATCACATGTGGATAGCTTGACCAAGTTTGGCCTGTCATTCAGCCATCCACTCATCAACATTATTATATACATATATAAAAACCAAGGCCATAAAAAACAAAATCAAATCTTGGCTTATTGGCCTATTCAGTCTAACTTGGAATGATGTTGTTAGCCATGCATATTTCTATCACATTTTATTATTTTCTGACTCCCAGCTCCACCAAATAGTCTCTGCTAAGAGCAACTTCAGTGTGGGCTGGTGCTCGGGGGACGGGGGACAAAATAGGGCCAGATAGCCAGGCCTTGAAGCTCCAATGTGGGTAGCCCGAGGGAGAGTGGAGGCTCGAGCTCCGCGCCTATGAGGAATTGCCAGCCCAAGAGCCCGAGTGGTTGTGATGTCATCCTAGCGCAATGACAACATTCTGAAGTAACTCCCTAAAACCAACTGTCTTATTCTTCTTCCTCCTCTTTTGCTGCTACATTTCAATGGAAGACGATAATGATGATGAATCACCAATTAAATCACTTGGCTTACAAAAGACCGAGACTAGGACTAAGCTGTGGAAGAGAGCAATGCGCAGCTTGTGCAAGTCGACGGCTTCAACATCGTCGTCGTCGGCGTAATTGGGGAACCGGTGGGGTGAGATGTTGCAGGTGGTGAAGAGGTCTCGGAGGTCGGATGGGTGTACGTGAGATGGGTTTGTGGATATAAAATTGGGACCATGGCTTGCAGGGGAAATGGCGATTTGAACTTTGATGGTGTTTTTATGGTTTTTTCCATCTGGGTTTTACGTCTGATGCTCACCCATTTCAACTCCATACTTTTGACGGACATGGTGGCAGCCGCCGTAGCCACCACTGCACTGACCTCCATTCTCTTTCTCTTTGCTTTTATTCTGCGTCGATAGTGGAAGATAATGGGTATACGTAATTGTCTTTTCGGGTAATGACACGTTGCGCAACGAGAACGATTAAAAATCTGATCGAAATCTATCCTCAAAGATTCTGAAAAAGTAAGGACACGTGGCACGACGACATTGGATAAAAATCTTATCGAAATCCATCACCAATAATTGTCTTTTCGGATAATGACACGTGGCGCAACGAGAATGATTAAAAATCTTATCCGAAATTACAAATAAAAAATTATTATGTATTATTTAAAAAAAAATATATTTTATTGCCTATTGCCAGGGCTATTCAAGTGCAACGGTGGAGATACAAAATGCAGTTACTATTCATTAAGGGCAGTTACTGTTCATAGGGTGGATTGAATAGTGAATAGCTTAGGGGAGGGCTCCCACGCTGGAGTTGCTCTAAACGCATCGAATAACATCCTTGCTGAAGAAATTCGAGGAAAACCAAAACAAGTGTCTCCATTGAGATTCAAGGCCGTGTAGACCTACCGAATGATAAATCCAACTTCATCGAATTTTTTCCTGATCATTTTCGGCCTTTGAGATCCATCGCCCAACTTGCTTACTCTTAGCCTAAATAGCCAAAAGTTTTTTTTTTTAGTAACCACATGGTAGATGCCATACAAGTAATATATGCTGCCACGTCCATTTGCTCCTACCATCGAGTTTTTGTACGAGGTTAGAAGGATGTTCGCAAGGACTCTCTTGTGCACTCAAACCGTCAGTTCGAAAACTAAACCCAATACTCGTACATTCCCTGACCGCTGAGCACCTCCGAGTGACACCGAAAAATATATGGTCGAGGAAAAATGAGCATCCACTGCCGAATAAAAATTTTACCAAAGCTCTACCGAAGAAGTCTATCACCAAAGCTATGGTTGAAGAAATATATGGTCGAGGACAAAATCCTCCTGTTGACTTGGGTGATGCAAACCACCAAATTGATTTACGCCGACTTCGACCAAAGCTCATATATGCTCTGATATTTGTATAAATAGGCCTCATGCCCAACTTTACAACTTCCACTTAGATAGCCTTTTACTGTAGACGTGCCATGTTATGGAAAAGACCCCATGATTTTACCACGATAACCAGTGCCGAGCAACAGTTCATGCTCGCCGAGCTCGGCAAAAAAATTGGCATATAAGACCTTGAATCTGCCAACGCCTATATGGCCGAAGTTTCAGGAGGTTACTTCGGCAAAAAGCTGGCATATATATGTGTGTGTGTATATATATATTTGACAATAAAAGTGGTCTTGTCTTGACTGATCAACGGTGCCACATGGGATATTCCTTGGCCCAGTATATAAGACCTATATATCACCTGTTGTTGATACGTATTCTAACATAACTTGGAAGCAAATCATGATCCTCACGTCAAACATGTCCATAGGCTAAAGCTTGCTGCCTCTTTTGTCTTAATCACATCACATCATCATATTACTATTTCACCTTTATCCCATGCATGGATTAATTGCACGAAATTAAGCCAGTAGTAGCTGTACTGCCGCATGAGCCTGCCATCACCCATATGCCGAATATCCCCAATTAATTTGAATAGTAGGATAGAGATTTCTGCACTGAGCATCAATTTTACCAAGTAGCTATTTAATTCACTCATTCTCGGCGAAATATTTTTTACCGTCGAAATATACCACATGTGCCCCCTTTATTTTCTTAAGCATCGGCTTCTCGGCCTAATGGTTAAGAAAATAATTTTTTCACCTTTTTTTTTTTTAGCAAAATAAAATGAAAACGGCTGAATCATAATCAGGAGGAGGCCAGCGATGCTTGATTCCAAGCCGAGATCTTTTATATCAAAATTTCCACTTTGAGTTTTTCTAAGGCTGAATAGAATAACATCTCCAAATATGTTTGGCTTAATGAAATATTTTTTATCATCGGCCGCCGAATGTGTTGAACAATTATTATGCCCCCCAGGCATAATAATTCTGCCAATTTCTGTTTTTAACTCGAACAACTTAGCCGAACAAGATTTCTCCATATCGGCTTTATCACCAATAATCATATCGATTGGCGTGGTTTTTCCGGCTAGGCCTATGTCTCGGCCTTGTTTGTCATTAGAGCACTCCTCTAACGAATCATTTTCTAAATCGACTTTTGGCTCATAAACTTGAACTCTTTCTTCTAGGCCTACCACACTTTCAGTCTCGACCGAGACAACAGGTGGCCTAGGTGTTTCTTCGGCTGTCTTGGCAATTTCTTGTGGCCGAATTTTTATTATGGCCAGAGCGAAAAATTTCCCCCCAGTCTTTTGATCCAACCATTCTTCAAATGGAATTAATTTGAACCTAGGACAAAAAGACGTTTTCTTATCGAACCACTCATCAAATTGAGCTCTATCTTCTTTTAACCATTGATCTTGTAAGCTGTGATGAACCTTCACCTTTATCATTTGAGAGAAAGATTTTTCCCTTTCTTCATATGCTTCAATAATCTGGTCAAGGTTTGTTATACCTCTCGGCATTTTCCTTTAATAAGCGCCAAATCTCACCCTCACTAAGATCTTGATATATCATGTGAACTTCGTAGTTTTAGCATTGTGTCCCACTGGGCGTGCCAAAATGTTGACCCTAAAAACTACCAAGCCTACATGGCACGCAGGCCGAGTAATTAAAAAGCTAACTACATCCTTCGGTTGTGTGCGGGGCGTGCCAACTCGTCGACCGAACTCAGCCAGGGAGTAAAATGTGTTGATGTTGCGTTGGGCGCGCTGCTGACTTCTTGATCTTGCGACTACGGCCGAGGAATGAACACGTCTCGGCCTTTGGGGTCCAGAGCCTGAAGACAAGGCTGCTAGTTCTGCGAAGTTCAATATCAAATTTGGCCTTCAAAGTGCCAAATGTAGTAACCTGTAACACCTCACTTCGTCGAGAAGGCTAATGAGATGACCTCTGCCAATAAGGATTCGAAAATCCTTCTCGACCGAGACTTGGATAGATAATCAGTCGGCCCCGACGCAATGTTGTTTATCCAAACTGAAGGTGTTCCGGGGTCGGCTGATTCTAAGGCAACATTGCTATTTATCCAAACTGAAGGTGTCACCGGTTGCCTTCACAATGTTGTTTATCCAAATTGAAGATTTGTTGGAGAAAAAGGAAAATAAAAATCTCAAGGTTATTGAGAGGTTTCGCGTAGAATGAGTTTGTGCAGGGCAGTTTGTGTGTTGAGTTGGATGGGGCATCACTTGTTGCAACGCACCTTGTATTTATAGCATTTATATCTTCTACTAGGCACAACCAGATAATTTTGTAGAGTCCAACTACAACTCTAACTCGCGAAACTGAACTTGATTCGCATCAGAAACCAAGGCATATCCGTCAAATTGATATGTGGGATTTGTTTCTTGACTTTTCACACCTAATAAAAGTTAGGCTTATCACATCTCATAAGAAGCCTAGCCCACCTAGACTTCTTATCATCAAAACTCCATCAGTAGCTTTTAAACCCATCTGACATCACCATGCAAAAAGGCCTATTCTACCTAGGTTCCTTATCCCATCATTATCCAAGACCATGATTTTAAGATCATCAAATCCCATATGCTAATCTCCACTCCAAGCTATTTCAATCTACACGTCCACTACCAGACATCCAAATCAATTTGAACTGCACTGCTTGCTTCATTATCTGACGCCGTGCATATCCCAATATCCCACCATCATTTTAATTGGGATTTAGACAAATATTAGGTTTAAATAATTTAATATATTACTAAGAGATAATATAATGATTAAAATCACAATATTATTTCTCAGTCATAACTAAAAATCATTTCAACCACTTTGTCATTCAATGGCCTAAAATCCTGCTCATTCAACGGCCTTGATTACTCGGGCCGATAGTGTAAAATCGGGTCCAAACAGTTACTTAATTAAGGCCTTCAATCAAGTTCAAAGCAATGCGTGTTCATATTCATCATCTGAGCCAGAAAATTTTGTGACCAAGTTAAAGAAAGAGAGGGAGGGTTGAACCCGGGATGCAGTGGATTAAAAACGAAGACCTCAACCAACATAATAATCCACTTGCAATTCAAGGATACATTTGAATGATATCAAATTTGTTTAGTTTTTGACAAGATTATATTTTGTCTACTCACAAAAGGAGTCATTTAGTTCGGCGCTCCAAACACGCGGTTGTTTTGTCAAGACTCATTGAATGAGATCACGAAGGATGGATGAGTGGAACCAGGAAGGGGGTGGGTGTTGGCCTGAATATTGGGTGTAGGCGTGGCTTGAATATTTTTGTGTCTTGGTCGTAAAGTGAGATGGCATGGTCTCACCAATACCAAGATTTTTCTGCTAGAATACATGGATTCAAACAAATGGACGAGACCACTGCTTTGGCCAACTGACCTAGTATTCACGTCATACAATATTTGAGTGGAAAAGTTTTCAAGTTCGAACCCTCCCTCCCTTCTTGATAAAAAGGGAAAGTATTCGAGTAAAAATGATTGAACACCATTATAATCTGTTCAAATGGATTTTAGTGCCCAAGGAAAGAAAAGGACTGAAGTTCACAACTCATTTTGTTCATTCTTGAACAAGAGGAAAGTCCACCAGAAAAGTGTTCATCATTGCATATATATATATTTCACTTCGGGCTGCAGCATAATCATCTGTGAAGATTATTTTGGTAGACATTGTGGCTTTCTTCTTGTCTGCAAATCACTTTCTTATAAATATGCATATTAGCTCGTTATAATCACAAAACAAAAATTTATACACATTGGTCAAACTATAATTTGTCTGTCAGGAGAGACGACTCTTCTAAACTAAGCACTACAGTGAAACCTCAATTTTTTTTAATTTTCTGACGTCTTTCATGTTTCATGTTGTGTAATTAATATGCAGATTTTAACTATATGCCCACCACCTCCACTCATCGAGCCACAGATCCACAAGGGGTGGTTCAGATGGAAACTTTTCCTTGAAAGTTGGACAAATGGATCACAGGTCATAGGAGTTACCCAAATGGTGTAAAACATCATTCATTTAATCAGTTGTGCCTTTGTTTTGTGGTTGTGGAGGGATCCAAAGTCCATATCCATGTACCTCCTCAAATTCAATTGGGGTGGGATAACTTTAGTCAAAGTGTCAACTAGGTCATTGGTCTTGTGACTTTTGAAATTTAAAATTCCTCCAAAATTAAAAGTGGAAATGAGCAGGATAAAAAGTGGAGAGAAAAAAAAAAGAAAGAGAGAAATTAGCAATTGATTGCATGCAAAAATTAAAGGAGCAAAAAATGGCAATGATTTCCAAAGTAGGGACTTTAATCTAAGAGCATCATTACACTACACTACATGGTGTATAATCATCAAACCACCATTACAAATTACAAAACTCTGATGAAGATTAACCTACCTACCTCAGAAATTCCATTTGCTATTTTACAAACTACATAACATACCCCCCCTTTTCTCTCTCTCTCTCTCTCTCTCTCTCTCTCTCTCTCTCTCTCTACAGCACCAGGAAAACCACACAAAACAGAGCCAATTCCATTTGAGCAGCAAATAACCCCGCCAGCGCCTGCAACCCACAATCCAAAAGAACCCAATCAATAGTTTCCAAAAAAAAAAAAAAAAAAAAAGAAACCAATCAACATCCCATCAATATTCAAAAGTAACAAAAAGTAGAAAAAAAAATTTACATACACTGATACATATACAGTTTTCATGTATATTAATAATAACTTATGCTTTGTAGCCATGCTTTACTAATCACTATTTTCTTATGTGCTATTTTTTTTTACACAAACGAAATTATTCTAAGCTACACTAAAGAAATGATGAAGAGTTTGAATTCGGAACAATGGATTAAAAAATGAACCACTCATCAAAGCAATCCACCAATTGCACGCCGAGGTTCATTTTATTAATTTTTTTTATTTTTTTTGAAGAAATGAACACATTTTAATGCTTCAGTTGATGAAGAAGTAATAAGTAATAACCAACTACATGATGCAAATTGAATGTTTGAGCATGTAACCAAAAACTAAAATAATCAACAATGGAAATGGTTACCTGTCTCTGGTGGCCAGAGGTTGGTACAGGGCGTATTGTGGTTGAATCCACTTCACCAGTGGGCAAAGGAACAGCAGGATTACTGTTAATGAATGGGATTCCACCGCCGCCGCCTCCTTTATCTGTCACTGAAGAGCTTACGCTTGGTTGTGGGCTGGGAGCTAATGCCACTTGGCGAGGATGGAATGGCCATGGGAATACTGGAGATGATGAAACTCCACCACCACCAGATTTCGGTGTTGGGGCCACGGTTGGAGGAAGCTGCGGAGAGATTCTTGAACTTGAACCGGAACTCTGCGGCGGCGGTGCGGAGGAGGAGGAGACTGTTATGGCCAGCTTCTGGGTGTTTTGGCATGTTTTGAGCAGAGAGCCATTGTTGAAGGCAAAGTAGAAGAAACCAGTGCGTGATGGGTGCCACTTTGCAATGTAACAAGAAAAATTTCAGTCAGAAAGCTCAGATCTTTGAGAAAATCATGACTTACCCAGATGAAAATTACTAGTTTTGAAGCTAATATACTGAAAACCCAGGTTCGAACACACATTTAATCGAGCTAATTCTCAAGAATCCCACAGAAAAACAGAGCCATTTTAGAGAGAGAGAGAGACAGAGAGAGATACCGTGAAGGAGGTGGAGTCAGGTTTGCTGAGAAGAGTGGCTTGAGTGAAATTGCAGAGATCGAAGGCTCTTTGGTTCTGGAAAATGTAGAGGTTGTACTGATACGTGTGCTTGAAAACTGAAAAATGCTCAAGAAAATATTGAATCAAAAACAAAGAAAATAAAGTTGTTGAATTTGTTTGGTTTTTGACAAATGCAAAGTACTTACTGACGGAGTCTCCTACATGAACAGTTGGGTTTTTCCACTCTGAAACTCCATCAACTAGTATTGTCGTGGAGTGAGAATGCTGGAAGAGTAAAGCGAGCAAGCACAGCACGATGAGCATGGAGAACTTCATGGAGAGCTTCTCTTTTGAAATTTTTTGTCACCACAAAGTATAAAGATGGTTTATTAAGATTAGACACAGGTTCCAGTCCTTTGTGGCCTTGCCCTTTATCTATTTATTTGTCTAATATAAACGGCTTCACTTATATGGTATTCTGATTCAATAATATAATGATGGTTATATGTATATCTTTGTATGATAATATATTATTCAATCGGGATAATATCGTGACAGTGAACTTGTTTCATGTAAGTTGCTCTATTTTTAGCTGTTTCAACCATGCTATTTTGGATCAATAATTTGAGACCACGTTTTTTTAACTTTCTCACATATCACTTTATCATTAATAAAAAATGTGATAATATTAGGGAGTAGATTCATTCTTTGAGCCATTGGAAAGATTTTTCATGTGCCGGCAACACGGCCTTATATACCAAGTATTATAATACAACTGATTAGATACTTACAAAAAAGAATTTCCAATTATTTGTATTATAACACTTAGGGGTGGTTCGGTATGGGATCCCAAATCGAAAATGGTATTCTGAATTCCAACTGAAAATTTTCAAGACAGGAATTTGAACACCAATCTCGAATCGAAATTTCGGTATTCCCAAATTTCGGGATTCGCGATATGTTTTTAGTATTTTGGGATTGGATTTTTGGTTTTGGGCTTATGGGTTGAAATTTGAGATTTTTGAGGTATGAAATTTGGGCCTTTGGCCTAATTTTTTTTTTCCAATTTCATATCAATTGAAATTTAAGCTTTTATCTCATACAAATTTGAAATTTCATACCAATCAAAAGACCATTTCATTCGTAACAAGTCAAACTGATGTTTCAAAGTTCCAAACTACTTAAATTTCATACTTCTATCCCTAATATAATTTAAGAAAAACTAATGAAAAAAGCTTGAAAACTTTGAGTTTTAACGATAAGTACAAAATAAAGGGTAAAATGAATAGTATCATGATTGACTTTCTAGTGTAAAAATATGGTTTTTCGTTAAAGTAAATAGTACCGTAGGCTTTTCGTTAGAACATTCAACATGCAACAACCAAAATAAATATATATATTTTTTCAGTTCGGTTCAGGATTCCCAAACCATTGAATATGTAATCATGATTCCTGTACCGAAAAATTTGGGATCAGTTCGGTATGGATCCCAAAAATTTCAGTATTATCAATTTGAAAATTTTTCGATATGGATCGAGATTTTTTTTAGTTTGGTTTAGGATTTTCAGGATAAATTTCTAGCCCTAATAACACTTATATCAAGTTATATTTCTGACATACTTAAAAGTTTCTCGGGCATAGACAAAGGAGGAGTGTTTTTAAAAACTGTTGAAAGAGGAGAGTAAGTGTAAGCACGGAGGCTGGTAAAATGTCGGTAGTGGTTTGCTTTTTCCATATGAAGAGTTTGAATGGATGACAGACATAAATACGGTCTCATTATTTTTCACAGTAAAAGGTTGAATCATTTTGTTGGTATAAAAAACCCTTTTAAAGAATAAAGATTTAAAGAAAAGGAAAAAGAGAGGATTAAAAAAAAAAAAAAAGAGTGAGAAAGAGAAGGGGTCTTTTGGGTGGCTCTGATGGTTAATGATGGAGATTATTATTCTAAAATGATTAGCTCTTTGATTATGAACCTGCAGTCTGTATTTTTTCAATCCAAATAAATTAATGTCTTGGGAGGTGGAGGACTGCAAATCACTTTCTTTTAGGATTTTTCTTTTAATTTCCTTTTTATTCAATCCATAAATAATGTAATTAGCTCATACTTTGATGCATAAAATAATTTTAAGGGAATAAAATCTTTAAAGCTCTTTCTTTTCTTTTAATATTTGATCTTTTCTGGTAAACATATTGCTTGCTGCCATGTTTTCCATGTTGCAAAGGCAAATGGAAAGCAACTTCTCCTTACCAGTTATAAGGAACTTTATAGGTTTGTTGAACTCAAAATTTCATCAAACACCCCCTATAGCCTTGATGAAATTTATATTTTGGTATCAGGAGAAACTACTTAGATGTCAGTGGAAGGAATTCTCCACGTAACGTAGGTCTGTTAGTGTTCTTGTTTGTTCTTCGACATTGCAATAAAGTGGTGTATCTAATAGCAGTTTATGTCTTTAAAGAAAAATGTGTGTTTCAATGGGATACTTGGGAGCCAATTTGGCTCTTCAAATCATTATTGCTTCAACTGCTTTGATTTTTTACTTCCTCCCTTCGTAGATATGAAGAAAGAGGTATTGTTCGAACCAAATTTGCGAAAATCATGATCTCACAGCATTCATCATCCATGCATGAAAAATGTTGGTCACATATAATGAAGAGATTTTTCAGTGTGATCGAAACATGAGGTGGTACACTACGTGTCACTATACAAATAGTGGAATATGTGTGTTAAAAAGTTTATAACTTAAAAAATACAATTTTCCATCACTTATATAAAAACACATGATGTACTATCCGGGTTCTGGTTAATAGGAAAAATTTATCCATATAATGCAAGTGCAAGTGCATAAAAAGAAGGGAAGTGGCGTGGAGGCAGAGAGCAGAGAGCAGAGAGCAAGCATGGCCGGCATCATATGCAGCAAAAGGAACCTTAAATTTGATCTGTATTTGTCGATGAGGTCTGTGGGCCAACTCCTACTTTATATACGCCGAAAACATAAAGATAACAAAAGCACTTGGCAGGGAACTAAAAGACAAACACTAGAGTAAAAAGGACTTTGAATGGATAAAAGAGAGAAATACATGTAAGTTAAAAAGAGAAATTATTAGGAATCTGTACTTGATTTTACGATAGTTTAATATTAAAAATATGAAATGATTAAAATATTTTTAGAGATGAGAATGTTGACTTTGATTGATGGTCGTGTCGTGACGCGTATGACTCATTCATTTGACGTATTCTAAGAGTACTCGACGTTACGAACTCGTGGACGCAAGCGGAATCGAAGACATATCTAAAGGTAATTGAATCTAAATAAAGTAATGTAGGAAGAAAAAAAATCAAAGGAAAGAAAAACATAAAATAAATAAATAAAATAGAAAATGATACAACGGGTACTTCGCTACCGATTGTACGTGGAAACAGTCGCTAGAGAGGTAGTGAACACACCCCGTAGAAATCGCTAGCGAGATAGTGACTATACAAAAAATCAGTCGCTAGTATCATACCAATCCTCCATTTTCAATTATTTTTCTTTTTTATTTATTTATTTTTGTTAATATTTATTTATTTTATTTCTCTTACTATAACAACAAACTTTTATATTCATATTCTTCAAAATATATTTTTCTGTGAAAAATCCATTATAATTCATTTTAAACACTTGTAATCAACGATTTAAAACCTAAATTTAAAGATATTTGAATTTAATAGTGATTACTCAAATAAAGTAAATAAATTGGAATAGGGAAAGACAAATACCACGGTATTGATTCTCGCCCAGACGTACTTAAATTGTTCTATCTATTTATTTTCACCTTCGCCTCACCGTAAAGTTTTAAAAATTAAGGTAAGATTTTCCGTTGATATTCTTAAGGGTAGAACCCCATTTGATAATGTTTTGGGTCTCACTATTGTATTTTTCACTTATTTTTTTAGTTTTCGGCTTAAATATTCTACTAAATATACATTTGTTGCTCAATAAGTTGTAAAACCACTTCCAAATGTCTTATAAAGTTTTCTTTAATGCTCATGGAAAATATTTCGCAATAAATTGTAAAACCGCTTCCAAATTCATACATAAAGTATCGTTCAATCTATTTATTTTCACCTTTGCCTCAACGTGAAGTTTTGAAATTAATGTAAGACTTTCCATTGATATTCTTGAGGGTGGAACCCCTTTTTTCACAATGTTTTGGGCCTCACTACCACATTTTTCACTTATTCTTTTAGTTTTCGGCTTAATAATACATTTATTGCTCAATAAATCCTAAAACCGATTCCAAATGCCTTATAAAGTTTTCTTTAACGCTCATGGAAAATATTTCGCGAAAAAAAAATTTGCACTTTCACAAAAAAACATGGATTAACAGTCACGATTTGTAGTTGGTTTTGCAAATTCATATATAAATCATCGTTCGATTTATTTATTTTCACCTTCGCCTCATCGTGAAATTTTGAAAATTAAGGTAAAACTTTCCATTGAGATTCTTGAGGGTAGAACCCCCTTTTTTACTAAGTTTTGGGCCTCGCTACTATATTTTTCACTTAATATTTTAGTTTTTTTTTTCGGCTTAAATGTACATTTGTTGCTCAATAAACCATGACACTGATTTCAAATGGCATTTGAGTTTTCTTAATGCTCACGGAAAATATTTCACAAAAATAAAAAAGTTTGCATTTTTAACAAAAATCGTGGGTGTTAGATAGGCTCGATGTACACAAAACAAGGCAGGTCTAATACACAACGAGACGGGCTCCACTCACAGAAAATGACACAGGCTTCTGGCACGCAAAACAAGACGAGGAGCACAGAACGAGACGAGAATCGCACAAATCGAGATGCCTTAGGAAGTATGAAACAAATTAAGTGGTTCAGTTTTACACACTTTCAACTGAGCCATCTTCAATGACATGATCGACTTAAAAAGATGAAAGGAAAAACATTTCCTCTGTTTAGATATACACCAAGGTTTTGTTTATATCTTCCTATCAATTGCATTGAGTACACTTTTCAATTTTTTCTTTCTTACCAAGGAGGTTGTCATTCTCCTTTTCGAAGTAAGAGACCAATTTTTATGATACACTATGAGAGCAATGAATTATAATGCCAAAAATTTAGTGCTAATCCATGGGTTGACTAAACATTTTCAAGAGCTTATGGGTTCAAATATAATTTCCCACTGAAAAATTCTGGAGCAAATCAATGCATGACACAGCAAAATTTATTAGTCGGATGCGTGTTCAAGAATTCAAGAGAATCTAGCAAGTGGATGTGATTCACTTAAAAGGCAATCTTGATGTATGTAGAGATACTCCTGTCTGTATACGAATAGGAGGCCATAAAATGATGAACTAATGAACAAAGATATTTCCGCTATGTTTCTCCTAAAAAACACGAACAAGGATATTAATGAACTTACATC